ACATTTTTAAAAGATTGTATTGAGGTTATACTTTTCATTTTGTCGTCAAGAATTCTGTTCCATAGACGAGGTCCTCTATATGAAATCGAGTAATCTGTTTTTTTTAATGTTGACTTAGGTAAGTTAAAATTGTGAATAGAGCACCTCGTTAAGTATTTATGAGAAATAATTGAAAAATGATTGTTAAAGAATTTAGGAAGCATGTAGTTTTGATATTTAAACATAAATAATAGGTTTTGGTACAAATTTAACTCATAGACGTTTAAAGCTTTGATATCACGGAGTAACGGTTTGGCGTGGCCACATTTATGCATATAACATATAACTCTACTGGCTTGTTTTTGTTTTATATATATTTTCTTTAATGCTGATGAACAAGTACTGGCCCAAGCAATGTTACAGTAGCTAATGTAACTATGAATAAAAGAGTAGTATATATCTTTTAAGCATTTTTTACTTAATAGGTGTTTTGTTTTATACATAATGCCTATTGTTTTAGAAATTTTGTTTTCAACGAGTGTAATATGACTTTTCCATTTAAGATGTTCATCAAATATTACTCCCAGGATTTTCATTGACACGACTTTTTTTACAATAATTCTGTTTATGACTAACTGAGGAAGTTGAAGAGGCAAACTATCTGACTTAGATGGCTTATGAAATAAAACATATTTAGTTTTACTAATATTTAAAGAGAGTTTGTTTGCTTTGAACCAATCCTCCAGGTTTGTCAGCTCACGATTTACTATGGTAAAAATTGTTTTAATATTGGAGTCGGAGTAAAAAATAGTAGTATCATCTGCGAAAAGGATAAAGTTAAGCATATCTGAGGAACGGTATATGTCATTCACATAGATTAGAAGCAGTAGGGGTCCAAGAATAGAGCCTTGAGGAACTCCACAACTAACTGTTTCTAGCTTTAAACAAGATGTGGTATAAGATACTCCTTGTTTTCTATTATTAAGGTAACTTTGAAACCAATTTAGGTTGATGTTTTTTACTCCATATTTTTCGAGTTTTTACAGAAGGATTTTATGGTCGACATTGTCAAAAGCTTTTGACAAGTCGATAAACAAGCGAAGAGGATAATTATTTTTAGCAAAGCCCTCTAAAATTCGACTTGCTAAATCAGTTACTGCATGATGAGTTGAATGATCTTTTCGAAACCCAAACTGTTTGATGAATAAGATATTATGTTTTTTAAGGTAATTATATAGTCTGGTATACATAATACGCTCGAGCACTTTTGAAAAACAGGAAAGGATATTGGTCTATAATTAGATGATAAAGAATCATCACCATTTTTGTAAATAGGGACAATTCGTGCAGTTTTTAAACGACAAGGGAAAATACCAGTTGTTAATGACAAGTTAAAAATAAAAAAAAGAGGTAATTCAACAATATCATAAACAGCTTTCAGAACATTGACATTTATATCGTCACTCTTATTTATTTTTAATTCATTAAAAGATGCTCTAAGTTCATTTACAGACAATTCAGACTCATCCATTACAGAATGAGCTGTTTTTAAATATGACTGGAATGTTGTTTTTCCAGGAGTTATATTAGCAGCTAAATTTTTTCCGATGTTTATAAAGAATTTGTTGAGATTTTCAGCAATTTCTTTCTCATCAAATATTTCTTTGTTCATATTGATTTTTAATCTCTTTGGAAGTGTGGTGTTTTTTTCTAATTTTGATTTTCCTGTTACTTCTTTAATTACTTCCCATGTTTTTCTACTATTTCCTATGGAATTTTCTAAAAGATTAGAATAATAATTTTTTTTAATTTGTTTTTTTAATCTTTCAAAATAGTTTTTATATTTTTTGTAATTTATTTCATTGGTATAAGTTTTATTTTTTAAAAATTTCACATAAAACTTTTGTTTTTTTCTAGATGATTTTTTGAGATCATTTGTCATCCATGGGTTAATAATTTTTTTTTTTTGAGTTTGTGTTTTTTTTAATTTTTGGAAAGGATCTTTCATAATTTTTAGAGAACAATCGTATAAATAAGTTAAATGCATCATTTGCATCCTTGCAAGTGCAATTTACAACTTCCTCCCCCTTTATCTGCTTAGGTACTTTATGGAAGACCCCATGTACCCTTGATTAATTTTTTTTACTTTATTTTATTTTTTTATTACCATATTGTATTAAGTTACTAACACACAAACGCATACACACAAACACACACAAATAAATTAAAAATATATTTGTGTTGTAAAATTTCGATATTTTTTTATTCTTTCACTTTAAACTATTAATTTTAAACACTTCTCCGTAAAAACTAAACTTTATTTCCTGTATTGTTTTATATTCCTATATAGTTATTCCTTTAATTATATCCTACATTATTAAGAGCTTTCGCAATCTTTAATTACATATTCCAATCTATTATTATACTTAACGTAGTTAAGGCGATTTAGTAAAACTAATATCGAATTTATATTTTTTATAAAAATCTCATCTTTGACAACCTATAATTTAGGATTAAATGAAATGAATGTATGTATATATATATATATATATATATATATATATATATATATATATATATATATATATATATATATATATATATATATATATATATATATATATATATATATATATGTATATATATATATATATACATATATATATATATATATATATATATATATATATATATATATATATATATATATATATATATATATATATATATATATATATATATATATATATATATATATATATTTATATATATATATATATATATATATATATATATATATAAGCTATCAATTTTTGTAAAGATAAACACAGCGATTTACTTACGAGGACAGCTAGCTTTATAAGCTAAAGACCCACTGGCTATTGTAAATGGCGTCATATAGTAAATATGACGCTATAAAAATCGCTATAAAGCTAGCTAATCGCTCGCTAGTCAATAGCTCCTTTCCCACCGGGATATATATATATATATATATATATATATATATATATATATATATATATATATATATAATATATATATATATATATATATATATATATATATATATATATATATATATATATATATATATAGAAATAATCACGCGGGCATGCGTAGTATAAGTTTAAATTTGTCCGAAGGAAAACTACGCACGCTCACGTGATTATTTTTACCTTTCCTATCCCGTTTCCGTGAAAATACGGATGAGTGGAAACTCACCTTTATAAGCATTTCTATATTTTTTTTGTCGTGACGGTCGTAACCGTGACTGTCGTAACGAAAAATCTAATTTTGAAAAACAATAAATAAAACAACGCAATCAAAAAAAAAGTTGAGTAATCATAAAAACCATGTCAACTATGTAAAAGTATAAACTTAATAACATTATCAAAGTTCTCAATTATAGTTTTTTGATTCTGAATTCGTTAAATTTAAAATTGGTAACTAAAGGCAGGCTGCTATATTTATTTATACTTTAATACTTCGCCAAAGTTTAAATGGTTAATGCTCCCTGTTCCTAACAAAAGTTTATAAAATAATTCTTTCAAAGTAAAAATATCGATTTCAAAGTTGTTTTCAAGCTTTGGTTGCAAACTTTCACTTGATTTTTTAGCTTGTTTTCATTTCCGTTGTCTTTTTTAATAACTTTCCTTTTTTTTTTTTTTTTTTTCAACAACGCTTTTCCGCTTCTTGCTCTATAAGCTTTTGATCTTTTAGCATCTGATTTAGGCATTTAAAATGTTATTAAATATAACTTTTGAGATTAACGTATAAAAAAAAAACTGCGAAATTTATAATTAAAAAAACCGCGAAATCGAATAAACAAAAACGTTGCAATGCAAACTATAAAAAACGTTTTTACGGAAACAAATTTTCTTTATCTTAAAAGTTTTTACTTCTCAACAGTTATTAATTTATTTATATCAATTATTTTAAATAAGTGATTTATATTTAAAAAAAAGAAATAATTTCTAATTTTAAATTATTCGAAATTACTTTAACAAGCTTAGCAATATTATAAGTCAAATGATTTTTAACTTGGTTTCAATAATAAAATAGTTCGCGCTGAAACCTTTTATATAGATGTCAAGAAGCCGTTATGGAAAAACAAACATAGCGTGATGGTCGTGACGTACTTTGTACATCTTAATACTATCATTTAAAGCTCTTTTTTAAAAAAATTTACAACAATTATAAAACTTATATCAGTATCTTTACTTTTACTATATTTTTAGCTTTATAAAGTCTGATAAGAAGCCTAGAAAAAATTTCTAGATTTTTATTGTGACGGTCGTAACGTATTAATTTAATAAACATTTTCAGAAAAAAAGTTCAGACCCCCCAATGCTATGGTATAATAAAATCATGTTTTTAATCATTTTTTGGCTTAAAAGTTTTCTTAAATAGTTAAAAAAAGAATTTAATGAGGTTAGCATATGTTTTCCTAACCTTTCCTTCCTCTTTCTCGCGGAATTGCCCATATATATATATATATATATATATATATATATATATATATATATATATATATATATATATATATATATATATATATATATATATATATATATATATATATATATATATATATATATATATATATATATATATATATATATATATATATATATATATATATATATATATATATATATATATATATATATATATATATATATATATATATATATATATATATATATATATAATAATAATAATAGAAAACATAACTCAGATGAAATTGTTGTAAAACTTTAACAACCATTATTTTATTTATTTTGGTTTTCTACTAACTAGTTAAACTAAACTCCGTTTATTTTGCAATAACTTTTTGCTATGCGTTTTAATAAATGACAAAAAAAAAAAACTAGTAATATATATAATAAAAAAACTAGTAATATATAAATCCTTTAAGATATTCGCTTTAAAGCAATTCGCCTCTCTCCCCCTGCTTTTTTTTTCGAATACTTCGTGTGTCTATAAACGTGTTATCTTATTTGTATCCAATATAACTTAAGATGGGGAAATCCCTTTGGTTGGTGACCAAGGCAACCGATACGGTGGAAATCACGCTTGGAGATTTTTTTTTGCAGGTAATAAAATTATTATGTAGAATTAAACGCTGTGTTGTAAAGTAAAATTGATATCTTTAGCTTTTAATTTTTTTGTTCAGGGTAAGTAAACTTCAGTTTAAAGTTTACTTTCTTCTCGATCTTTTATTTCAGAGGAAGTAAACTTTCAGTTCGAAGGTGAGTCGATGTTAACGCTATTAAAATCTAATGTAAAAATATATCATTTTAAGCGAACTAATAATAAAATAATGATAACGTAGTACTATCACGTTTTTATTATTTTCTTATTACTAAAAGTAATAATAAAAAAAAAATATTATAAATAGAAAAAATAAATAAAATTAAAATAATCAGGTTTTCTCCAATTAACAACTTTTTTAATTGCAACATATCGACAATAATTGGCCTTCAGTTGTATCATAATTCCTTATTAAGATAATTGGCTTTCAATTGTATCATAAACTTATGCCAGTGTTCCTACTCCTCCTTAAAAACCTTTAATATTATTAAAAAAAAATCCTCTTTAAAAGTCCTTAATTAACCTTAAAAAACGTAAAATTTGATTGCTCTCCTTAATTTCTCCTTATTTATTTTTACTTTATATTAATCTAGGAAATTTTATAAAAGTGAAGGATGGTACTTATTGATAATAAAAAAATATATATATAGTTTTTTGATAGTTAGCAAACCTATATTTCTATTATATATATACATTTATATTTATATATATGTCAAGTAATATATTAATTTATAATAATTTTACTGTTAATATTTAAAATTTATTGAAATAAATAAGATTATGTTTCTAATGTAACCATTTTCTCCTTAATTCTCCTTACTTTTTCTTTAAAAAAAATTGTTGTTCGCGACCAAATCTCCTTAAAAATTAGAAAAATATTTCCTTAAATCTCCTTAAAATCCTTACTTTTAGATTTAGTTTTAATAGTGGGAACTCTGTATGCATTGTTACAGTATTGTGATTTGCGTAATTTTGGTTTTATTGTTGTTTTATGCAGACATGCGTGCATGCATGCATGCATACATACATGCATATACAAATACATATATACATTCATGCTTTATATGGATATGAAAAATATATAAAAGTTACTGATGTCCAGGCAGAAATCAGAAAAACAATATATATATGTATATATATATAAATATATATATATATATATATATATATATATATATATATATATTATATATATATATATATATATATATATATATATATATATATGTATGTATATATATATAAATATATATAAATATATATATATATATATATATATATATATAATATATATATATATATATATATATATATATATATATATATATATATATTCCCTAAATGCATATTTAATAATAAAATGGTATTATTGAGGCCTGTGTGTGAAGGGTAGAACTGTTTTTTTGTAATTATTTAAATTTTTCCATATTAATTGCTCCATGTTTGTGTCAAGCAGTTTTTACCATAAAATATTTACATGATATTTTATATTATATTAAATAATTACAAAAAAACAGTTTTACCCTTGTCTACACACACAGGTCTCCATAATGCTATTTTATTATTTAAGTATGCATTTTGCAAGAGTTTACCAAAAAATTTTTCTGACAATACCCTGTTCACAGATTAAGACTGAGCATTTGTTTCATTTTTATACTATATATATATTTTTGTATTATTAATGTAACACTCTATGATTTATGTAAATAAAATTAATTAAATGCATTAAAGATTTAAAAGTCAAATTTTGTGAAGTTTAAAGTAGCGAATAAAGCAGTAAAAGTTATTAAAATGTTTTTTTTTTTAGTTTTTCAACTTTCTCATAATGTTCATATTTTATCAGGAAAATTAAAGGCAACAATGTAAGAGTATATGCATATATATGTATATATGTATATATATATATATATATATATATATATATATATATATATATATATATATATATATATATATATATATATATATATATATATATATATATATATCCTTATAGTATAGTCGTAAGAGACTTTTATGGTAAAAAAAGTCTCTTTCGACTCCAATTTTTTTACCTTGTCTCTTAAGCTGCATTTTATTGTTGTCGAAATGTCAAAGCAATTAAATTAATGCGGAAGTACATTAAATTTTATTATTTTTTAAAAAAACCGCAATAATAATGACTAGAAAGTTTTTTTTAATTAGTGGTGTTTTTGTTTTTGTTTTATTAAAAAACATTTTTAAAACATGCGTAAGTGTTGCTACATCGATCTTATAGCCTGCTGCTAAAAGGCAGTGTTGCTACATTGACTATCTTATAGCCTGACTCGCAAGAGAGTGCTGCTACATTGACTGACAAATAGCCTGACTCGCAAGAGAGTGCTGCTACATCGACTGACAAATAGCCTGACTCGCAAGGGAGTGCTGCTACATCGACTGAAAAATAGCCTGACTTGCAAGGGAGTGCTGCTACATCGACTGAGGGTTTGGTTTGGGCAGGCAGTCTATCATTTACAAAATAAAAAAAAAAAATTTTTTGAAGTTTTTTAACATTTTCTGGTCAGGTTTATTAACGCGCTCTTTAAAACAACAATTTATGAGAAAAACTTTGTGACTACCATGCAAGACTATATATATATATATATATATATATATATATATATATATATATATATATATATATATATATATATATATATATATATATATATATATATATATATATATATATATATATATATATATATATGTATATGTATATGTATATATATTAAATGCTAGATTGCTTTCCCAAACCAAACCCTCAATTGATGTAACTGCACTTCCTTGTAGCAGCAGGCTATAAAATAGTCAATGTAGCTGCACTTCCTTGTAGAAGCATGTTTTGAAAATATGTTTTTAAAAAACAAAAACTAAAACAGTATTAATAATCAATTAAAAACACTTTCTAGTCATTATTATTATTATAAAAAACAATAAAACTTAATGTACTTCTGCATTATTTTAATTGTTTTAACTTTTAGACAACAATAAAATGTAGCTTAATTGTTGAAGTTGCTTAAATGTTGTTGAAAAAGACTTTTTTTTACTAAAAGTCTCTTTTGGCTATGATATAAAGATATATATATATATATATATATATATATATATATATATATATATATATATATATATATATATATATATATATATATATATATATATATCATTGTTTCTGTTTTAACAGAAACAATGATAGAAAATGATCTTGGGATTTTCATTTCAAATAATCTAGAGTGGAAATATCATATTAATTCAGCTATAGGTAAAGCAAACAGAAAATTAGGCATGATCAAAAACTCTTTTGAGTATTTGGATGAACTTTCATTAAAGTTAGTATACAAATTGTTAGTACGTCCCCATTTGGAATATGGAGCAACAGTTTGGAGTCCATTTTGGAAAAAGGACATTGAAAATCTTGAAATCGTGCAACACAGGGCTTCGAGAATTGAATCTTTAAGGGGGAAGTCGTATGAAGAAAGAGTAAAGATACTTGAATTGCCAACTTGGTTTGATAGAAGAAGAAGAGGTGATCTGATTCAAATGTATAAGATCTTAAAAGGGAAAGATATTTTTAATTTTCACCACCCTCCTTTAAATTTTGAGCTGGAGCGATCTAGTAGAAGTAACAATTGTAGAATACGCAGACAAAATCAAGAATTCGTCACCATTTCTTTACAAACAGAGTTATAAATGATTGGAATTCTCTTCCACAATGGATATTAGATAAAGATAATTTGAACATTTTTAAAAACAGTATCGATAATTATTTCGGTTTCTGAACACTAATTTTTGTAATCGGCTGTCATAGTCTTAATTCTACGTAATTAAGACTCTACACACCTCAAGTGTGTACAGCACCTTTTCTATTCTATATATATATATATATATATATATATATATATATATATATATATATATATATATATATATATATATATATATATATATATATATACATACATATATATATATATATATATATATATATATATATATATATACATATATGTGTTGTATATATATATATATATATATATATACATATATGTGTTGTATATATATATATACATATATATGTATATATATATATATATATATATATATATATATATATATATAACACATATATGTATATATATATATATATATATACATATATGTGTTGTATATATATATATACATATATATGTATATATATATATATATAACACATATATGTATATATATATATATATATATATACATATATGTGTTGCGATTTGCTCTCTTTTAGTAACCTTTGTTTATTTTTTTAATGAGTTCTTGATGTTCCTCAAAGAAACATAATTTTTGGCATTTTTAATATTGATAAGGCCTAATATTAATAAATCAGTTCAACCTGCTACTCAAAAGACATGGAATAAAATGTTAGTTTTGGAAATATTAATTTTATTTTTTTGTTAAAAAAAATTTGCTAAAGTTCACCTAAAATTGCAAATTATGTTGAAAACTGTTTGTTTTTTAATTAAAAAAAATATTTTTTTTATAATTTTAGTATTGAATAACATAATAATATTTTCAAAATCAGCATATAGTTTTGCATCATTTGAGTCTCAGGATGAAAAAGTTCTAAAAAACTTTTTGAAAAAAATGTGACATGTCCCTTTTTTCAAGTTAGCGATTCATATAGGGCTTAAAAATTTTTTTGGTTCATAGTGAAACTTCAAGAACTTATCTAAATCTCAAAATATTTTTTGCTTTCCTGTTATATCTAATAGAACAGCATTTGCATCTCAGCAATGTTTTTTTCAAACCTTTTTTTAAACAGTTTATTTTATTCTAAACAGCTTATTTTCAAACTTGCTCCACTCTGACACGTTTTCATATTTACAAATATATTTTTAATAATACTATGAATATATTTCAGACAATAAGCAGATACATGTACAAATTTTTATTTCTCTGATTATATAATAGTTTGATTTATTGTATGCTTAGAATTGTTCGCTTTGGTTCAATGTCATCAATTAGTTATGAAAAGCATGTCTGTAATTTAACATAAATATAAGATAGTAATATATGATCTAAAAGCATGAGATACACTTCAAACTTGTCATAACCAAAAAACATTTAAGCACATTTGTTATAACAATACTAAAGGCATGCAATTGTTTTAACATTATAATTTTGCCACAGAGGACTAATATATAAACAAATGCAATTCAGTTTAAACAACCTTTGCACTGGTTGAACATAATGAAAGTGTCTAATTAGAGTATTGTATGTGTGTTAAATTAACTTTGTTAATCTCCAGGGATTCTCTAATTTTTCATATCCTGTATTCTTGAACAACTGCCAAGGTCTTAGGATTTAGCCAATCAAAGTTACCATGGCATGTTCTAGAATGTTTCGTGGCTCCTGAACTTGACCATTTTTGATTTTTGCAAGCTCTTTGGTGTTTTGCACTTCTTGAAATGATTTTCTTTTTGGTCTCACCAATATATATTTCCGCATGAGCATTTAAGTTGATAAACTCCCGGATTTGAGTTCGGAGGTAGTTTTGTTTTGTTGTTGCTTAATATGTTATTTAAATTGGGAGCTGAAGTAAATATAACTCTGATGTTTTGTTTTTTAAATTCTCTTCGGAGTTTTGGGCCATACCTATTATTGGCCATACCTATTATTATATAAATTAGAGAATCCCTGGAGATTAACAAAGCGAACGTTCGATATGAGATAGGTATTGGGGAAGGTGTTCTAAATCAAGATGACGGGGATAAGGTTAAAACAAGAACTTGGGACTCATTTTGACAAAAATTTTACTGGCGTCATTATTATATTATTTAATTGGTTTTTATATTTGGCGCTTTTTAATGTCTTCTTTTAAACGGTTTGTTTTATGTTATTTTGTAACATTTTATTATTACCTGATGACGCTGACTACAATAGGTTAGCGAAATATTGTATATACATTTTTACATCAAAATATATTTAAAAAAGTTATATGTTGCCTTTTTATTAAAATCAATTTATATATTTTATATATATATATATATCGTATAACAAGAAATGAATTTTAAAGATTCATTCTCATGATACTCGTCATTCTAGAGAATTTATAATGCACTTGTTCCCAAGTGCTATATAAATTCTTATTTGTCTAGTTTTTTTCTTCGAACATCAGTTTTTTGGAATTCATTTCCTTCATCTTGTTTTTCTAATTTGTATAATTTGCAATATTTTAAGTTGTCTGCCAATCGTTATCTTGCTCTATAAACTTCATCTTTTCTCTTCCATTAACTTGTGGTTGCTTACAGCCTTGTTGGAAGCAAAGATGTTGAATATATATATATATATATATATATATATATATATATATATATATATATATATATATATATATATATATATATATATATAAGACTTTTGTACAATATTAAGTATGACCTAAGACTTTTTTTTTTTTTTTTTTTATTTCATTTTGTATATTACAGTTACTTTCTGATACCTTGTTTATTAAAAAAAATTTTATCCAAAATAGATATATATATATATAAGATAAATGGTTAAGTTGACAGAATTTGCAATCATTTTTGATAACAATCGAGAAGTATTTTATCCTGGAGAAGAAGTGACTGGAAGTGTTGTTATGGGTTTAAGTCGTCCAATGGAAATGAGAGGAATCAAGTTAATAGTAGCAGGTAAATTTTTCAATTTATAGTTTAAATAAGTTTTAATTCAATAAGTTTGTGTGTGTGTGTGTGTATATATATATATATATATATATATACATATATATATATATATATATATATATATATATATATATATATATATATATATATATATATATATATATATATATATATATATATATATATATATATATATATATATATATATATATATATTTAAATTTTACAAATAAACTATATGCATAAAAAAAAATTATAGGAAAAGGATATTGTCATTGGTGTGATACATCAGGGTCTAATGATAATAGGCAGGAGAGTCATTATGATGGAAATGAAAATTTATTTGAATATCAATTATGGATTCATGGAGGCACCTCAGTTAAGTTTCAAAGTGAAGCCGGACAAAGTTTTCATAGGTTCAAGTTTAATCTTCCTGTCATTTTACCAAGTTCTTTTGAGGGACCCTATGGTCATATTCGATACCTAGTATCTGGTAAGATGTTTCAATTGGTTAAAAAATTAATAGTATAATGAGTACTAAATAATAAATTTTTAAAATCTAAATTTTTTATTATTTTTTTTTTAATTTTTTTAAATGTGAGTGAGCTGCACTTATAGCGCTTGCGCGGATGATTAGGATTTTTGCAGGTTTTTTGATTATTAGATAAAAAAGCTCATGGAGAAAATAAAATGATTTTGATAATTGATTATGATTTTTTAATAGTTTAAAATTTAGTTACACTTTAATGTTTTGTGTCATATTATAAATATATCTTAGAAACAATAATCAGCAACAGTTGACAGTTAGAAGAATGTTGCATTTGACCAAACATTTTAAATTATTTTAGTATATATTTAGATATAAATAGATTGCTTTTTCACCAAAAAAAATTGATTAATTTATAAATATTATTTTGTTTCCTCTTTCTTCCATTTTTATATATAAAAAGTTCATTCCTTTTTCTTTGTAAAAATTTTTTTTTCTAATTTGAAAAATTGCTTAAAAATCAAAATAGCTCCAAGCAAATTAATGAGTAATTATAAGAAAAAAGATATTATCAAGTTTATTTAAAAATATCAAAACATTAAAAAAAAAAAAATCTTCAAAAATAAACTATAGACGCTCACAAAAATGTTTTAACAAATAAATATTATTTTGTTTTTTTATTATTGTTTTGTAATTCCATTATATTTATTAAAGTGGTATTGTATTTTATATGATTTTTATTATTTTTGTTTATATAAGTAAAGTATACTTCTAAACCTAAATAACATTAATAAGTTTTAAAACATTAAATTTAATAAAACAATAATAAATTTTGCGGTTAAAAAAAAATAATTGTTTTATGCGCAGGCTTTTCTTAGCTTGTGTAAACTAAATTTCACTGTTGTGAAGGCATGTCCAGGCATTTGCCCGCCATTCTTGCCAAGGCCTGAAACATAATATACTACATTTTCAACTTTTCTTGGTGAGGCTTATTTATTTTTGGCCTGTACTGTATGTTTATTGTGCATTCAGTTAGGTGTGTCTTTTTTACATAAATTTTCTTATGCTGAAACTCTTTTTCTTTTTCTATCTGTCAAATTTTCTAAAGAATTTACAAAAGTTTGTACTCTCAGGTTTTATGTTGAACAACAATTTAAAGAAACATGAGTTGTTTTTTTTAACGTTTCACCAAAATATTTGCATTTGGAAATACTGACATAAAAGTCAACCTATTTTAAATTTAAAAGTGCCAATCTGAATATGTTGGCATTTTCATATATAGATTTGATCATTAAGTTTTCAGAATGGCATATAAATGTCAAAATTTACAAGCCATCCTAAAAACGATTAAAAAGGTATCCCAAAAAAGTTAGTACCTCTCAATCTTTTTTTCATTCTCTAAGGTTCAAATAGGTTTTAAAAAATTGTTTATTTAATAGAGATATCTCTAAAACTTCGTTATACTTTAATTATACTTGGCTTCATGATAGGCTTCAGTTTGATAAAGATGAAATCCTGTTGTATCTCCTCATAAATAGAAGATAACTAGTTCATTGAGCTTCTTGTAGTCTGCCCTGTTAAATGTCTTTGTGGTCAATGCATTTTTAAAAAAACTTTGTGGTCAATGGATTTTTGAAAAAGGCCTCACTTGCAATGTTGTACAGAGATGATCTAACATATAGCTTCCAATCAAACCTGATGATCTCCTATATCTTTTTCCTTGGTGCTTGGCCAGTCTTTCTGTGCCAAGGCTTAGGTCTTTTTTTTAAAAATTAGGTCAAAAGCTTAAGGCCAAATCTTACTTGGTGCTTGGCCAGTCTTTCTGCAGTCTTACATATAGTGCTCTCCTAGGCCTTTTTTTTTTTTTTTTTTTTTTTTCAGTAAAAGCTTCCCCTCAAAGTTTCGATTATACCTCGTCTTATCTGGTCTCCTAATAAATAAAATAATTTTATCACTTATGTAGTTAAATCTTTATTTATCCTAATTTTATGTTCTACTAGTTATTCTTACATAAATCTTCAATCTTTTTGAATCTCTTTCGATAAACATAGCTTTTAGAGATAGGAGATGGAATCCCAGTTTATACTTCTTAGATGGATGAGTTTTTAATACCTAGTATGGAGCTTATCCCTTAATAATATAAAAAACACTATTTCTTAAGTTAGTTATCTATATATGGTTACTTTTTTTTTTAATTACGTTTGTATTTAACTATTTTTTTTGCTCAGTTGCTTATTTTTTATTCACATAATTAATTATTGCATTATTTTTTACCTGACAACAGCTCCAGAAATGATGAGTTCTCCAACCAGCCTTGTTCCACACATCCATTACAAGAGCAGTGACACATCTATGGCTGGGATTTTTATATAATCCACCCATGCAGATTAGATCTTTGCCTGGGAACCTTTGAGAACAAGCTACAAAAGACTTATTATATTTAAACTTCAAAGACCTTGGAGATTTGACAAATTGTATAAATCTAATGCTGGTGAGCTTTTTTGTGGGCATCTGACTGGTAGGAAATATTTGAAGAAACAGTAGCCTTCTGGGATTAGTTTGTATCTTTCTCTTTTCTCCTTTATTTGTGGCTTTTTTCCAAAGATGACCTATTTTAGAAAATACTATGAAATATTTAATTATATAACATACATTCATTTATTCATTTCATCATCTCAAAAATTTCAAAAAAGTGTGATCAAATTTGAGTAATTATATTTATCTTTTTAATGGACCAACAGCAACTTAGGTTGGTATGCTTTTTTTAATTATGTATAATGCTTATAAACATATCAAGTTAAAGATTTTTGTTAAAAATAAAACAAGCTAATGACAAGAATACTGTTGAGCCTTACACAAAATACACGTTTTCCATAATATGAGCGCAGTTCTATTAATACTGGAATCCTTGTGCTTATTTGATGCATGAAAATCATTTAATGAAGTTATTGTGTTTTTTTTTTTGTGCAAAACAAAAATATATGTGTATCAGTTTAAGCATGTCTGTAAGCCTCTTAAAAATATGTATTTTTGTATAAGCATACCCTAACCTGTTTCAAAAATATGCTAATAAAAACATGCGTTAGATTAATAATATTGTTATTCAATTTTCGCATAATTAATAGTTTAACAAACAAACAAACAAACAAAATTTCCTTGCAAACTAATCCAAAATTGATGTACTCTTTTTTAAAAAATTCAATTTTGGTAAGTTTTACAGATATCACTTTTTGACTACTCATTTTTTTCCTGTTAATTTTTAACTTCAAGGGACTTCAGAGAATGGAAAAATTTGAGAGGTAAAAAGAAAGATAGATAAAAAAGAATGTTTCTAACCCCCTAATATATATATATATATATATATATATATATATATATATATATATATATATATATATATATATATATATATATATATATATCCCTCCGAATTAGGAAAAATGAGGTCAGCAATAATTTGCTGATCTCAATCTTTCAGAGGTCAGCATCAGGTCGACAAAAATTATTTGATACAAAGGTCTTACAATAAAACATAGAAACGAGGTCGGCAATTTTTTGCCAACCTCAAACACATTCAGGTCAGTCGTAAGGTCGGCATTGCCAAATGCCGACCCTAATTCTGAGGGTTGTATATATATATATATATATATATATATATATATATATATATATATATATATATATATATATATATATATATATATATATATACATACACATATATATATATATATATAAATATATACACATATATATACAAAAATATACATATGTACAAACATATAAATATATATATATATATATATATATATATATATATATATACATATATATATATATATATATATATATATATATATATATATATATATATATATATATATATATATATATATATATTATATATATATATATGAGCCGGGATAGCTCAGTTGGTTAAAGTGCTGCTAAAAAATTCGGAATAATTATAAGTTACTTACAAAAGAGTGTTTATTAATAAAACCATTTTTGAACTATGAAGATTTTATTTCTTGTCATTATTAAAAAAACCTTTAAAAAGCATTTAAAGTGTACACTTCGTTTAATAATGAGTACACTATAATGCATTATATAATTTTACTAAACGCAATAAAAAGAAGCCAACTCACAATTTAATATTTCTAAGTGGGACTGTACTATTTTTTTAAACCTTGTTACATTTTGAAGCATATTTTTTTTCACTTGAAAATAAGTATTAAATTACTTTTTTTTTTTCAATTAAAAAATCATGTAATGTTGAATCATTAATAACTCATAATTGAATTATTAATAACTCATAATATCTTTTGCTTTTTATTAATAAAAAATATTTTTATTTTAACTTTGTCAAACAAAATTAGTAATAAAAAACATTATTAGGATATGATGCATGTAGAAATTCTTTTTTTCTTAAAAAAAATAAGTCATAGTATAATGAATTACAATAAAAACATAATGTTTTAAACATTTAACTAAATTAAATTTGATTAAAGATTGAAAGAGAATAATAAAATATTTTTCTTTTTATAAAATGTTTTTTTGTGGTTATGTTTTTTAAATTGCATAATGAAATCTTTGTTAAGGTTGACAAAAAGAAACGACATGAAACAGATGTCGACTACAACAACATTGACACATGTATAAAAGTTGTGTTTCAATTGATCTCTTTACCAATATTTCTTTGCAACTAAAGTTACTTAACAATCTTTTTTAACAGCTTATTACATTTCACTTTTTTTCTTAATTAATTTACTTTTAATTAAGTCGTTTCTTATTAGTGGTATTTTAGTAATCAGGCGTTTAAATTTTTTTTTCTTTAGTATTTTCATAGCAGATGATTCAAGTAAGAAATAAAAACTATTTCAGTCACCAGCAGGGCGACCAAGAAAAAACTGGAGAGTACACTCTGCAGTCAATAATCTCATTGACTAATTTGATTTTGAAAAACCATTGCTTCTACTTTTGTTCCTAGAGTATATTTATCATAA